GGGGTGTCCTGGGGTGGCTGGCTCATGGTGTGGCAGGTGCAGGGTCTGCTGGCACGGGTGCTGGCAGCCTTGCAACTGGCACAAACTGTGTAGCCAGTCCGTGGCCCTTTAAGGGCTCCGGGGCCGGGAAGGGGGCAATAGAGTTTCCCTGGTGTTGGCCAGAGTGGCCACCAGGGAAACCTGGGAAGCATTAGCCTCCCACTAGTTCGAATTAAGGGTCTACACAGCCCTTAATTTGAACTAGCTAGTTCGAACTAGGCTTAATCCTCGTAAAATGAGGTTTACCTAGTTCGAACTAAGTGCTCCACTAGTTCGAATTAAGTTTGAACTAACGGAGCGCTAGTGTAGTGCCTATCAAAGTTAGTTCGAACTAACGTCTGTTAGTTCGAACTAACTTTGTAGTGTAGACATACCCTTAGAAGGTACTAAGGTGATAGGGAACAGCCAGCATGGATTTGTAAAGAACAAATCATGTCAAACTAATCTGATAGCTTTCTTTGATAGGATAACGAGTCTTGTGGATAAGGGAGAAGTGGTGGACGTGGTATACCTAGACTTTAGTAAGGCATTTGATACGGTCTCGTATGACATTCTTATCAATAAACTAGGCAAATATAACTTAGATGGGGCTACTATAAGGTGGGTGCATAACTGGCTGGATAACCGTTCTCAGAGAGTAGTTATTAACGGTTCACAGTCTTGCTGGAAAGGCATAACAAGTGGGGTTCTGCAGGGGTCTGTTTTGGGACCAGTTCTCTTCAATATCTTCATCAATGATTTAGATATCAGCATAGAGAGTACGCAGATGATACAAAGCTGGGAGGGGTTGCAACTGCTTTGGAGGGTCATAATTCAAAATGATCTGGACAAATTGGGGAAATGGTCTGAGGTGAACAGGATGAAGTTTAATAAGGACAAATGCAAAGTGCTCCATTTAGGAGGGAACAATCAGTCTCACATACAGAATGGAAGCAACTGTCTAGGAAGGAGTATGGCAGAAAGGGAACTAGGGGTTATAGTGGACAGTATGACGCTGTTGCAAAAAAAGCAAACATGATTCTAGGATGCATTAACAGGTGTGTTGTGAGCAAGACATGAGAAGTCATTCTTCCACTCTACTCTGTGCTGATTAGGCCTCAGTTGGAGTATTTGTCTATTCTGGGCACCACATTTCAAGGAAGATATGGAGAAATTGGAGAAGGTCTAGAGAAGAGCAACAAGAATGATTAAAGGTCTAGAGAACATGACCTATGAAGGAAGACTGAAACAATTGGGCTTGTTTAGCTTGGAAAAGAGAAGATTGAGAGGGGACATGATAATCCTAGGCTTATCGGGTAGTCAAATCTTACTCCACTAGTCACATACCCACCCCCTTTGCCTTTGTATTAGAGGCAGCAAGGTGAGGAGCAGTAGCCAGTGCTGGGAGAGCTAGCTTAAAAGACAGTTCCTCCCAACACGGGCTCCACCTGCAGGCAGGGGATGCAGAAGGTGTAGTGGGGGAAACGGCACGAGCCGGGCCTGGGCAGTCCCAGCTCCCACCCGGTACCAGACGCTGCACCTCTGCTTTTTAAATGTAGTAAGAGCCGCCAGGGTCCCACACGCCAGGCTCGTACTACATTTAAAAAGCAGAGGCACAGCACACCCCTTTATCGACTAATCGAGTAGTTGATGGAAATTCCTAACTGCTATTTAACATCCCTCCTCTGGACTCCTGGTTCACTGGGCGGATCACTCTGCTTCTTCTCAGACTCCGCTTCTCCGCTGTGCAAGCACTTTCCCAAACAACAGTCCCAGTTACTCATAGTTCCTGCCCTGCAGGCCCTTCCCAGTCTGCTCCAGGCCCAGCAAAGGTCTCTCCCCTTCAGGGACAACCCCCAAACATCCTCTGAAGTTCCCTGCTCAATGAACACCCTCAGCAGTGGGCTCTAGCTTCCAGCAGCAGCTCCTGGTCTGGACAGAGCTTCGCACCAGACATCTGACTCCTCTCTCCAAAATGGAGCCCACCCTCTGCTCTTCCTGCACCCAGCACTCCTGCAAGAGAGCAGTTCCCCCCTTTTTCCCCAAGGCGTCATGGGAGTTGTAGTCCCTAGGCTAGAGTGTGGTGCACAGAATGAAGGGGTTAGCTTACACATGGTTTTGTCATCAACCTTTCTTACAGCCAATGAGAAAGCTTGGATCAACTAGGCTAAGATGTCACTTTTCATTAAGATGAAAAGCAGCATAACACCGCCTTGGATTCAGAACTCTCTGATTCTGTTCTGATCTCAGGCAGGTTCATTTCAGGCAAAGGGAAATGATTTTTCAGAACAAGAAAGATCACTATTTATGATGAGCAGCAACCTCAGGAATACTCCCAGCACCAAAGAGACAGTTTGCCCAGAGTGGAACTTTCTGGAACGCTGAAGAGGATCATGTGGGAATATATTAAAAAAGCCATGTTAAGCCACCTTTCCTTTAGCTTCTCGGCCACCTGGAATTGGATTCGAGCTTTCTGGAGAAAGAATGGCCTATTGACTCTTTCGATGCTTTCTGTTGTAACTGGATGCCTGCTGGGATTTCTGCTAAGGGTTTTGGAGCTGACCGAACTGGTGAGTGACAGAAATGTGTTGTATGTGCAGAAAAATGGGGCTGGGTCATGTGGGGGTTCAAACTCATTATAAAGGAATATTGACATAACATTTCTTTGGTGTAACACCACAAATGTGTTAATCTGCCTTAAATTAAACCTCACACCTGTTCATTTGATCCCTGCTCCCCAACACAGCTGTAGTAGCAGAGCCGGCACGTTAGCCAGCTCACTTAGAGTTAATGCTTGTTTATTTACACAAAGCCTGCTGATTGGCACAGCATGAAGGATTAGCATAAGGAATTGCCAAAAAAAAAAGCCCCCTTTGAGGAGGCATCCTCCATGCACAATGTTTCTGCATTTACTGATCTGCAGGAGTTTCAGAGGGGTAGCTAAGTTAGTCTGTAACAGGAAAAACTTAAAAAACAACAAAAAGTTGAGTAGCATCTTAAAGATGAACAAAACATGTAGATGGTATCATGAGCTTTTGTGGACACAGCCCACTTCTTCAGATGACTGGAGTATTAGAAGTCCAGATCCAAGAATAAATAAGGAAAAAGGGGGAGGAGGAAAAAAGAGCGTGAGTAGATTGTTCTTATCAGCCTCTTCTAACTACTTGAACAATTGGCACCTCCGCTATTTGGTTAAGTCATTAGGATGTCGAAGGTAATGAGCAAGCCAGCCTGTTCATTCCATTAGTGTAAGAATTAAACATGTAAATGAAGTTAAGTTCCAACCATTCTCTGTGTATTTGACTTGTAGAATTGGCCTGAAACAACATGGTGACTTGGAGATCCATTAATGAGTGGCCAGGCAGGTTAAAGTGTTCTCCAACGGGTTTCTGTGTGTTGCCTTTACGTATATCTGATTTGTGTCCATTAATTCTTTTTCATAGAGACTGTCCAGTTTGGCCAATATACACGGCAGTGGGGCATTGCTGGCATTTGATGGCATAGATCACATTAGTGGATGTGCAGTTAAATAAGCCCCTGCAGAGGCTGATGTCATAGAATCATAGAATCCCAGGGCTGGAAGGGCTCATCTAGACTACGGGGAAGATTCAAAAGAGGATTTGCATATCTTCTTCCG